TTCCACCACCAGGTCTCTTTGTCCTCCTTTCTCTGCCCAGAGGACATACCTAGCACCTTCCTACCTGTCTCCCTAATCACTGATCTTCTGCTCTGTCTTCACTCTCTTCCTTTTTGTCACCTCCATCCACACTACCATCCGATGTTGTTTGCCTACACTCTCACCTGCCACCACCTTACAGTCTCTAATCTCCCTTAGATTACCTCCTCTTCTGCATAGACTATAATCTATCTGTGTGGACCTGCCTCCACTCTTGTACGTCACCCTGTGTTCCTCTTTCTTTTTACCACAGCCATTTCCATTCTCTTCACGAAATCTACCACTGCCTGTCCTTCTACGTTTCTCTCCCTAACACCAAACCTACCTTTCACTTCCTCATCTCCTCTGTTCTCTTCCCCTACATGGCCATTAAGGTCTGCTCCAATCACCACTATCTCTCCCGTAGGGATACTCTCTACCATCCAATCCAGCTCCTTCCAGAACTTCTCCTTTTCTTCCAACTCACAGCCCACCTGTGGGGCATAACCACTAACAACATTTATCATCTCTCCTTCTATTTCTACCTTCACACACATCAACCTGTCTGACTCTCGTTTCACCTCTACCACATTTCTTACATGTTCTTCCTGTAGGATCACCCCTACTTCAATTCTCTTCCCATCTGAACCTTGATAAAACAGTTTGTAGCCTCCACCAATGTTTCTAGCCTTGCTGCCCTTCCACCTGGTCTCCTGCACACACAAAATGTCTACTCTTCTAGTTCTCTACTTTTCCCTGGAATTGTACCTACATTCAGAGTTCCAAACTTCAGACCAACACTTCTATCCTTCCTCTTTCCTCTTTTTGTCTGAATCAATTGTCCTCCTCTTCTTTTTTAAAAGTTTTTCATTTTAAAAGTTCAGTTTACTGAACTCAGTGGAACCTAAAAAAGTAACAATGTATTAGTTATAATCAAAGTTTTTAATTCAGATATTGCATCAACATCTGCCAAATATTTCAGAAATAGTGCATTGATATATGAAGAAAACAAGGGAAAAATAAGACACTTTTGTATTTTGTATTGTTCTTTACATCTCTTATTAAATACTTACTCAACAATATCCTCTGACACAGAGAACCCAAAGATGGTAATCACTGATTCATGAATTCACTCACTATTAAGCAAACATGTCTATTTATTATAGACATGTGCATTTCTTCCTGATAAAATTACCGCTGAAGACAGATCCACGGCATCTGTGGATGGCTGGCCTTGTACAGTCCACTCTGCATGGAGTGTTAGAAAAGAGTATTATTGTCCAAGGATGGCTCAAATCTTTCAGTGCGGCAGTTTCATAACAAGCCTTGGGATGAACAGTTAATTTGGAGCCATTTTACGTGACCGACATGTTGTTGTTGACTGTGTGTGTGCCAGCCCAGAGACATATCAGGTTGGATAGTTATAAATGTGAACACTCCTATGGTTTTTATTCTCATAAACTTTACCCAGTAAAACAGTAAAAAAAACTTTAAGTCTGATCATGTCAGTGGCATCTCTCGTTATGTGCGACAGTGACACTTTTACAATCTTTTAAACTGAAATCCACCTTTTATGGCCGTCTGCAGTGCAGTTTGATACAGATGGGATTACACTGAAATTCAAATGAGGATTTTTAGGTTTAAATAAGTTTCACAGTAGAAACCGTGTCTTAATATGGCACAATTATTCCTGGCTTTTCATCTGTTCACGTCGGCACATAATCTCTGTCTTTTATGAATCAATTAAAGCAGAATGAAATGAGGGTGGGTAAGAGGATTAAGAGGTGCCTTTGATGGGTTTGGGTTGCAGTTTGAAGTCTTTCATAAGTCATCGCTCTGCTTTTAATCCTCTGTCTGTTTTCTCTTCAAGAGGAGATTAAAAGTGAGCCCTCTTTTTAGCTCATACTCTGTTTTATTAGCCGTATCTTCTAAGTGCCATGATGATATAATGTACTTGAGACATATTTGGGCCTGCAGTCAGACAATGGGGCACATCCATGCTTTTTCACTACAGCATTAAATGTCTGGTGGGATCAGGTCAGTCTCAACCTCAAGATCTCCAGGTCGGCTGCTGAGCACAACTCACACTGCCAGATAGCAGAGATGACGAGGGGAGGACATATAATGAACACATAATCATTATTATATTATATGTGTCAGAGCGCTCCGCTTGTTCTGATGGAGGAGTGTTAATGGCTGGAACTCGCCTGAAGCCACGGCTGCTGTGAACAGGAACGCTGTGATGAATTGCACCACACTGGCTACGGTTGGTCCTGACTGGACCTGATTTAGAGCAGGAAGGGCTATAAAAGAGAGCTTAAAGTCTAAGATGTAAGGTGTACACTTACACCTTCAGATACTGTTTCAGTACTTGACCCTGGAAAGCTTCACTTGAACTGGAATCATCATTCAATCTTGAACTGGACTACTTTGATTCCAAGTCTTGGGACTTGAATTTAATTTGAAACCACAAGTCCTGGACTCTGGAGTTAACGCTGATTCAACTAGAACCGCTTTATCTGTGACTCACAACCCTTGGCATTGAAATTAATTATGTAAATTCAGTGACATACACCTGGACCTGGACAAAAAATGAAATGACTTGACTCAGATTCGATTGAGCTTCTTCTGTGACTCACATTCTTACTACAACCCAATGTACTAGTCCTTTTTTTGATAGATTCAAACTTACTCGAAATAGTCACAATAACTTGGAAAACTGAAACGTCCCCAAATGTCCCCAACCTAAAGGACTCAGACAGACAGAACGTTGTTTATGCGAAAAAAATAAAAAATAACAAAAGCCTGTAGAATGGCCCTTGGATTACTGTATTTTTATCATAAAGACTGACTCTAAACCCAAGGGCCTGGAACTGAAATTATCTAACTGAGTTTTTGACATGGGCTCGGACACTTAAACACTGACAGTTAGCTGAATCATCTAACTTAGTGTTCGGTATTATCATCAACATCCTTCATTCAAAATAGTGGAGGTCCATTTTTGTGATTAGTGATTAGCAATGTTGCCTAACTTTTTTCTAGTTTTCTAGTCTTTGAGCAGAAACTTGTCTGATTTACATGTTTGTTTGCAGATGAGCAATTGATTTATTTTCGAGACTTTCCATTTATACTGTATATACTGTATATTTTTTCTAAATTCATTCAGACTGACTTGTACTTGTAATGACTCATGTCCTCCTACAACCTCAAACAGTGTAAAGCTTTAAAAGATGAATGAATGAATGCCTAAATAATACATAGGAAGTAAAGTACTCCAAGCAAACTTAACTTGATAAAAGAAAGAGACAAAAGCGTGACCTCAGGACAGGGTGCACTCACAACTAAACATCCGGCTTCTGATACCAATGAAACCAACGGCTGAAAGAAAAAACAATTCCTGCACTTCTGAACTGGTTTTCAGACATAACAAAAAGTTTTGAGAAATAAAAATTAAAATGAAAGGGAACACAGGTAAAATCAGAATATTTCATATGTCAATGATAACGATGAACAATAAAACAAAGACTCCTTCTGTCTGGCCAACAAAGACCAGAAATGGAGAAGAGATTTGAGTAAAACATTCTGGGGTAGAAGTCCAACAATCCTTTAGATTTTGGTAGCAATCCTGATATGGATCTGGATTCTTTGAACAGGGTTAGGAGAAGTGTATTGACACTGTGGGAAACTGAACGTCCTTCGCTGAGGGCTGTGCTCAATAAATGCTTTCTTTATTTTGGCATGTTTCTGACAGTTCCCATTTTTGTTGTTTAAAAATTGACTTTGACTGTCAGCGTTGGCAGGTTGGTTTTCAACACGTAGGTGATCTGGAGACCTTGTGCATGTGACGTTGACGAGTAGCCCATCACACTTTTATCAGACCATTAATGTCTGTGGATAGTTTCATATGTCGTGGTCCAGCCTAGACCACTATTGTTGTGAGCTCCTGGCTCAGCAGTCAGGTTTTCACTTGGTGTAAATCTTGAGTCAGAGTGATGAAGTGCATAAGGAGGAGTAAGA